CTACTGTTGATACTGTGTTGTCTAGTATTGTAAGAGGTGATAGTATGGAAGGGTTTCTTCTAAAGTTGCCTGATGTTGGCTGAAGTTTAAAAAGCAAGCCACAACTAGATACATCTTAGCTGAACGGAGTGCTGTGTATGCTTGTTCTATTCTGATCTGATCTAGGGATTGACTGGAAGTGTGTTGGGTGCAAAATAAACTAGAAATTGCACACAGTAATTTTCCAAGACTTAGCACAGAAGTCTTGGCATTGTAAAAGTATTTGTGGTTGATGCTCAAACCAGGGCATTCTGTAGATGTGAAGTTTGTAGTTGAAGAAGGCTGGAAGAAAATACACTTCATACATTTACTATTTTTCCATTGTAGTCTTAAAAGCATTCTTTCATATCATTCAGGACATACTTTGCCATGTTGTAGAATTACAATAGCTGGAGAAAGAAGCATATCTTCTTTCAGGTTTGAATTGGCATTTGACAAATATGCCCTCCTCATCTGAAGAGCCTCAGTTTCTTATCCTTAATGAGGACCCTTTCATTTTTCCTGTCCCTTTGGAACCAGACTATACTGTTGTCTTTTAACTGCGTGCTCACTTGAGGATCCGATGAAATATTGTTACAGGAATGGTAGTTGAGTGGTACAGACATGGGCATATACTGACTTCTGGCAATGACCCTAGGAAGAAGATTTAATCTCACGTGTTTTACATCATATTTTGAAGTTCTTATGTGATCATTTATGTTCCCATGCTAAAAATATTCATCTACTATGTTTGTCATACTGAAATTTACAATTTGAATTTGTTTATAATACTGTCCCAATATCATTTTTCTACTTTCCTGGAACATCTTTGTACAATTCCAAAACAAGTGGAATACCATACCACTTGAACACCATCTGCATTGACATATATATCACCCGTCAATTGCAAAAGGCAACTTTACTTGGAAGAGCTTACATCCTGCAATGATACCTCTAACACCATAAAACATCAACATCCGCCTACCCCAAGTCCTTGGGAAGGAATCGATAGGTGGATAAAAATGTCAAATTCTGTCTGAAGATCTGGCTGACTGTGTGACAGAAACCACAGATAGTACCAACAGTAATAATAGATGCCTTGAGCGCAATCCCAAAACAATTGGAGCACCATTTGAATACCATTGGCATTGACAAAATTGGTCAATTGCGAAAGGCACTTGAAACAGCTTTACATCTTGTGACAATACTTTAACACAATCCAACAACATCTGCCTATCCCAGGTCTTTGGGAAGGACTCGATAGATGGATAAAAATGCAAAGCTGGTCTAAGCATCTGGCTTACAGTGAGAACCACCATAATAATAACAGCATTGACTCCTTGGTAATAAATATCCAACTATTGGCCACTTTGGGGAGCTCTGCTCTAGGTCCTTTACTGATATCTGGATTTTTAATCCAAGGGGCAAAAGGCTGTTGGTAATTCTTCTAACTTTGCAACTTCATTATTTGATCACCCTATAGGAGCTAATCATCATTTCCCCTTGACTTTAATGGAGTGGTGAAGAGTTAGCTTGACTAAAATTATTGGATAAAGAACAATACCAGAGAAGAAAGGATATTATACACATATTCCTTAGCCATTTTATAAGATTCCTGGATCCCCTAAATTTCATGAAGGGTTTTCTTCTCCTCTGTAATTTTCTTTTCCATGACATTAAGTAAATGGCTCTAGAGCAACTACGAAAAAATTGACAGTGTAAATTGAAAAGATAAACTCAACCTTTTTCAAAAGAATTAATGAGGCATATTTTCAGTGAGCAATCTAACAGCATTTTTACTATTGACAAGAACACACTCATCAATCAAACAGACATTTCCATACTGTATATTTTGTTAGACTGGGTAAAAAAATATCAGAATAAAGTTTTTGAAAAGAGACTAATTACTTTGAAAGAGATCCATGTGAAATCATTTAAGCCGATGGTGGTTCCCCATGATATCACTGCAGAGATACATGGCAAATTTTTGTGTGGCTACAACCATTATTTACTTTCACTTGTGAGAGGTATCAGAGAAGTTATGCATGTTGCCTCTTGGATGTCAAATGTTTACTTTTTTTCCCAGGCAATGAGATCATGGCTTTATGTGTCAGAAAAATGACTTCATATAGGTTAACATGCATTAAGTTGATTGACATGTTGGTATAAAAACACTAATTCAACGTGAAATGAAATAAAAGAGAGGACCTTTCAGGAACGATACAAAATACTGTTAATAAAAAGCATTTATACTATTTGTTTTTCTTAGGAACACGAGAACAGTCTTTTACTGTGTAACACCGTTGGTCTATTAACCCAACTTCCAAGATTTCAAAAGGGACAAGGGGCCAGACTACCTGAAAAGCCAAAGATTGAAATAAGCTGCACCATGTTACGCTCAAGCAAATCTTTCAAGTTATTTGAAGCCTGTTTGGTCAACTGATCAATGTAAGGCTTTTGTGATACACCCAATGTTATATTCTATTAGCTACAACCCAGGAATCTAGCTTATTTACATACGTATTTCAAAATATCCCAGTGCTACAGTGATATAATGGTTATAACCAAGTGAACATTATCTCATGTAACCACCTCATGGGAAACGGTAATCTGAAAAACCTGAAGGGTGCAAAATCTTCTATAAATGAACTGAAATATTTCCAGAAAGGCTTACTCACTGAACAATATCTCTTTCCATTCAGTTTTATAGTGTGTCCCAACATTGTCATCTTTTATTTGCAACTTGCAAGTTTAATTAATTAATTAACCATGCAAGGCATATATTTGCACCCACCCACCTACCAATTAATTACTGATAGAAAGATGGAAAAATGCCATATTCCCTTTATTAATTGAAAATATTAAGAGCTCTCCATTGGAAAGCAGAGGTGACCATCATATATAGCTTGGTCTATGTGGTTCAGCAACTTATCAGGTGATGATTTGCTATGGTAGTTATATGAATTTGTCAAAGCTTCATGTGTATCATCTGATTGAATAGAATAGAATAGAATAGAACAGAATAGAATAGAATACTTTATTGGCCAAGTGTGATTGGACACACAAGGAATTTGTCTTGGTGTAAATACTCTCAGTATACATAAAGAAAAGATACATTTGTTAAGAATCAAGAATCATAACGTACAACACTTAATGATAGTCATAGGGTACAATCAACAATCAAATCAGATCAATAGGAAAAATGTTTCAATGGTCCCCTTGAAACATCACATATAGCAGTCTTGACTGGAAGAGAGTCTGCGAGGAAAATATTACAACTTATCTTAAAGTTAATAACTGGAAAAAGCCTTAAAATCTCAGCACTATTCAGAATTTGGTAGCATTTCCATTATGAACAACTTTTAGGAGTTTTTAACTTTTTCTTTAAAAAGCAGTTTTCAAATCAAACTTACATTTGTTCCTTCCCATTTTTTTCATTGGTGAGAAAATTTGAATTAAGTGTAATAGGAGACAAACTGAATTAGTATCTGATGCCTACTTCTCCATTCTCTTCTACTCACAATCTACTTTTCAAATTGAAGGTTTTTTTCCCCTCACCATATTAACAAATTTCTAGAATGCTTACTTAAAACAAAACAAACCAGATCCTGGAGACTAGGCATATAAGGAAAAAGTGGGATGGAGACAAAAAGTTCATTCTTGGTCATCAGCCATTACTCTCCAAATCTTGGTCATCAGATCATTATTCTCTAAAATACCACATCAGCAATCTTATTGAAATGATCAAAAATTCAGATTTTGCAGCTCAACAATTATCCCACTGAAGAAACACTATGACTTTCCATCCAGGGACTCAACATCTAATGCTGCCTGGGTCTAGATCAGGGGTGTCCAACCTTGGCAACTTTAAGCCTGGAGGACTTCAACTCCCAGAATTCTGGGAGTTGAAGTCCTCCAGGCTT